CACAGTGCTGCCTGTTGCTCATGTGAAGCCAGGCCAACCAGATGAGTGCACTGTTTCTCTCCGAAACAGAGACGAGGACCTGTTCTGAAGAGGGATTGCTGCTGATGAGAGAATCCATCTGCCTGATGGCATGTTTAACCATGTTGCACTGGTAATAAAGTTGGGATAGACTGAGACTGAGCTGATGCCTCAAGACCGAGCACAAGGCACTTCTTCCTCCTCTTTGGATCTCAATAAAAGAAAGGGCTTGCTGTAAGTACGGAGCAACTACAGGCGGAATAGAGGTGTCCTGGTTTGTGCTCTGGTCTTGTTTGTCGACGTTGTCTAAAACTAAGAGCACACTGCTCAGGCTGTGGGACAGAGAGGCAGACGGCTGCAGAGAGGCTCTCCTGGCGGAACACACGCTGAGATGGGGGAGGTTTAGCTTGCTGTACAGCCCCCCCAAACACAGGTATGTGTAACTGGAAGGGATGCTCCATTTTCTCTGAACCTCATCACCTAAAACAAGTAGTCTTTCAAGATAAGGAGCAACGAGATCCCCCTGGTCACGGGTCCAGTGGTGTCTGGCCAGCAGGTAACACGCCCGGGCCTCTGCTCCTCTGTTGTGAGAGAGAACAGCTTTCTTCAGGATGTATTTGAGAACAGATACGTCTTCCATGCTTTTCAAGCAATCAGGAATTCCAAATAGAAGGGCAACAAGCCGATCTGATACATCAAAGAAGCTATCTCGGTTTTTCTGCAGAAGGTATATGGCTGCCAGGTTGGAGTAGATACTGGCCAGCAGCTGAAGGTCTGTGAAGGCCTCCTGTGGGACGCAAAGGGATTCCTCAAAGTAGACCCGGGCCTGGCTGAACTTGGACTTTCCAGCACAGAATCTACCTAACAAGAAGCAGAGACGGGTCTGGGTCCAGAGCAGGCGTCTCTTCCTGGCGGCCTCCCTGGCAGAACTAAGAAAGGAAATCAGCTCATCCTCATCGCGGTGCCCGGAAAAGATGGTGGAACTCAGCTGTTCTGAGCTTTGACCATAGAGAAATCCAAAGTCCGGTCTATAGTCTTGTCCGTCTAAAAATGAGAAGAGGGGGGTGAAATTCTCTGTGTTGTCCTTTTCCTCCACAACTGGGTGAACAGTGAAACTGGGCGGACATTGTGGACCCTCAGAACTCTCGTTCCTGGTCAGAACGGAATCGGGTGAAGAGTGGTTGTCTTGAGTAAGAATCCTCAGGATATTCTTCTTCAGTTCAGTCTGATGAGTACTGTCAAAGGACATGACTGCATAAGAAAAATGAGAGAATTACTATGCTGCCATCCAGAGGGGGACGATGGACATGCTGACTGTAGCAAATACCTTCACTTGATGGATTCTTCCCAGAGTCTTGGGAGCCAATCATATCTAATGACGGACAAGAAAAGGTACAACAAAGTAAAATGAGGACATTTGAGATCACTTGGTAAAGTCATAAATATTCCTGTCAAAGTCAAATCCCATGGATTGCATTACAGCCAGTGAGTACCATCCAGTTAAGATACCGGCTATAACCTGATGAATGCAGAATAGAACAGAGGATCTGACAGGTTCTGGTTACTTTTCCATGGTGGTTAATCATATATTGGTATATCCTCTGAGAAGTAATGATGGAAACAGTTTTGTTTTGTCAAAGTGAAGTTAACAAATGGCACTGCTTTAGGCGATATGAGCCAGAAAATACTCACTCACACTCTGTTTTCAAAAGTAATGACACACTAATTATTTTGTCGTCTTGTAGGGATGACATGCCCAATCTATTTGAATATGTTAACTCAAGCTGAGCCATCTGTCAGAAAATATCATTAATGGTCTAAATCTGGTGTAAAATCTCCATACTAACTATTGGCCTGTGAGGGCTAGGCTGCCTGTCTTACCCAGTTTGTAGTTATGACCAACATCAATTTGTGATTTCTTCTTCAACATATCAATTGTTTCTTCCATGACTTTGTCTTCATGCTGGACGGAGAACATCCATTCTTCTCCATCCAAAATGATATCTGCTGAGCTAGAATGATGGCACGAATAAATCAAGGCAATGTATTGTCATGATTTAAATTCTTGGAAAATCATCTCGTATCAAAAAGCCTAGAAGGTGCATGGTCGTATACTCACTCCAAAATTTCAGCAGATGGTTTAACCAGGCTTGTCTTAACAAGTCCCACTTCTCCAGTTGCCTCCTTCCGCCCCATGAACCAGCCGAAACAGGGCACCAGAAACCCCATGGCAGCGATGCGCTCCCCAGCGGCCACACTCAGCTCATCGGGGCCCTCAGCCTCGTACTCCTCTGTGGCCACACACACTCCTCTGGCTGACCAGAGGAGGGGACGGAATGAGACCAGATATCAGAGGCCTAGATGTTATGTTGCTGACCACAAAGTTGCCGTTGACCAGAACTTTGTCACAGAACTGTGGTCCACATACTTATCCGAGTGAAAGGTGGTTTCTACTCAGAGTTATCTGTATAGAGTATGTATTTCCATAGTTTGGGGAATTTTCTGTGATCTTTTTATTCTGATTAACATTTAGTAAATAAACAATAGTTGAAATAGGCTGTATCTACTAGGGTTGTCAAAAGTATCGATACTTAAAAAAGTATCGATACTAAAATGTTGTATCCGGATACGATACTCATTTTCAAAAGTATCGATACCACCGCGCAAGCCCGTGCGAGTCCGTGCGAGCCCGCGCAAGCGCGCGCGACGCTGACCTGCCGTCGCTGCTCCCCTTCTCTCTGATTTATTTATATATTTATTTACGTTGTTTATGATCATTAACGTGACGTTAGCCTTGAATTGCTAGCTGTGGCTAATGGCTAACAATAACATGTTACCATTAATCAAGTACACATCCGTCTTAGCCCACATCCAAATCGGCCATTTTGATTACGTCACCAAAAGGAAAATCCCAGGCAAGAAAATAGTAATGCCTCATGGCAATATAGACATTAATTTAAAAATAGTGAAATTAATCTTTCAAACACTTAATTAAACTCTATCCATAATATTATGTTAAAATAGTGGATGTTAAATAGGTTTGTATAATAAGTCCAAACAAGTTTAACCCAAAAATTGTTTCTCACAATTATGAAGGGGGGAGGGTTAGGGTCAGGGGCAGGGTCAGGGTTAGGGTTAGGATTAGGGTAATTAATTCGGGCCACCAGCCACGATAACATCAGTAACAGGTCAGTTTGAAATGAAAGACATTAACCTGTCAAAATTCAGTTACATTTTGGGGTCTTTGTTTTTATCCTTGTGGTATCGAAAATGGTATCGAGTATCGAGTATTTTCCTGAGTATCGGTATCGAGTTGAAAATTTTAGTATCGTGACAACCCTAGTATCTACTGAGTAACGGCCATGGTTCTGTTGGTACTATGATAATCTACCAACTGCATTGTTTCGGTTTAATCCCAGGGCCCCTCCAATGAAGAGATACCTGCCAAAACTGTGTGAACAGTCTGGATGATTTTGAACTGTAGTGCAGTGAATTGATACAGTATAAATATATATTTCACATCATTTCACACTGTGAAAGTTCAACACCTACCAAACTGCAGAGGGAAATCACAGGTAGGTTTTCCATCACCGATCAAAATGCTCTCCGTACAGGATTTGAGAAACCATCTGTGGAAACATGGGATCATGGTCAGACCTTCTATTGACTGCCTGATTACTGTCAGGTGGGAGCAACAACCACTTTTTTAGGCTGACTGAAATCCACAGAAGCCTTTGTGAGGCTGAGACTCACTGGTGGAAGGGGATGAGCGGATCCAGAGCAGGTTTAGGGGAAGTGCCCCTGGCCCCATCATCCAGGCAGAGGACCGTCCAACCAGAGCCCAGGAAAGGAGGCTCAAACTGGGCTATATCACCCTGTTCTAGGTAAAGGTCTCCCCCGGATGTGGAACTGTCAAACATCTGGTTGGCACTACAACTTGCGAACAACGACCCTAAGGACAGACATAGCCAACGTGTATGAGAAGAACCTCTGTAAAAATGCTTAAGCTTTTTTTATACTTCTTCAACTCATTGCTAGCATAATAACAAATTCAACTCATTGATCATTCTTGGAGCAAAAAATATGAGTCCCTGAACCCTGACAGAAGTGACAAAATTCCTCTACACCTTATGTAACAGTTTCTATTCACTCATTTTTACAAACATCTTCTTCTTTCTCTTTTCACTGAGGGAGATACATGGTTTCCCTCTTCAAATCGTTTCCTCCATCTCAAACGACTCACCACATACCTTCCTGCATGAGAATGCCTTTGTAGAAAAGGTTAAGAGTTTCCTCCTCAATGGAGACCTCAATAGCAACGTCTTCCTCCAAAAACTTGAGCCACACCGTCTGGTCCAGCAACACGTTCTCTAAACAGTGACCCAGCAAACCTGGGCACAAGCAGATGTTTGGAGGTTAAAAACCTTTGGTACTATTTAAAACTAGGCCAGGTTGGGCCACGAGTACATGGGACATCTTTTTACATTCATAGACTGATATGGATTAGTAGTGTTCAAGTAAATCTACAGGTATTCTTTCTAATAAGCAGTTTTTCAAAAACAGATATATCAAGATATTCAAAATATGTTCCCAACAGACTCTGTATCGCATCATTAGGCCTATAATGGATAGATGTGTTATGCACATCCAGTGAAAAGTACATAGGGCAGGGATCATTGCTGCACAATGATCAGAGCCAGGGGTTTATCTTAATAAAGTGTGCCTTATATTTGTGAGGAGGCTTTAACTTCATTTCACTGAACTCCATACCTATCATGTAGTATGTGATAAATTTCCATATTTCCTCAAATGTTTTGAATGTCACATAAATGGTTTTTTCTTCACTATTTACAGACAGAAGATGAGTGGACAACTCCTGCAGAAAGAAGGACAAGACATGTTTACAGTGAGATAGTCTTTATAGTTTTGGTCTTTTCATTCATTCACTACCATAATGTGTAATTACCATTTATTAATAATTAATAATGATCAAAAACATCTTTAACACTGCTGTGTAAATATTTACTGCATTTGACAACAATATTGTGTTGTACGTTTTATGTAGAACTGAAAAAAAAAAACTAATCAAAGCAAAATTTCAGAGGAAAGACTACATTTTATTATTTATTATTATTCAAGGGGATGCAGGTATGACTAGAATCAGACCAGGAACAGGTTGTTGACTTCAGCGCTGTCCACTTGCAGAAGCCGCAGTTTTCCGCTCAGCATTTCCTGTAAGTCCTCACCAGCAGGAAGACGGTCAGGCCCCTGGACCACCTCCATCAGCACCGGCAGAACTCAAAGCAGAAGAATTCATACTTACACATCCGCAACTACTCATCTGTATTACAGGTATAATGCCATTCCTTAATCTCATATACAAAAAGAATAGAACCAACCAACCAATTCAAATAGTAAGAATCTGTATTAATAAAGATTTACAGAGGTAAAAAGTTCATCTTTCATGCGCCTCCAATATGTTAATAGCAACAAATATTGCAGCAGTCACAGTAATTTACTGCCTTGGAAGATTAAATCCTTTAAACCCTATAATGCCATATGTATCATATTTCACGCCCAAGGTTTAAAAAATGTTTAGCATCTTGTATAATTTGATGGTAAAGACTTTGCTCAAAACCCTGTTCAGCTATACCTGATAACAGCCGGCAGAAGACTACATGATAATTATTTTTTCATTTATTGCACAGTAATTAATTATCAATATTCAAAAATGATTTCTTTTTTTTCATATTTGCTATAGAGCCAAATGGAGACTTCAGAATTTGAAAAACATATATTTTCTCTCTATCATTCTTGGATCAGGCTTTAAAGGGTTAAGTATGTTTTAATATTTAACACTAGAAATGCAGCTCAGAAGCAGGAATGTTTTTGTGATTTAGGAAGCTACATTCCTGAGTCCTCTCCTCTTGTAAATGTCACCTGAGTCACGATGTTTTTGTGGCAGAAATAAAGTCTTAACAACTGCAATAAAGGTTCACTTTCAGATTTGTCCCAGATATATAAATGTTTTATTCCATGAAAATAAACTTTTTTTTTTATTCTTTGCGAAATCTACACCCACAAAAGTTGAGTTTCAATATTTGACACTGAGTTCAACCCCTGAAAGAATCAGATAGCCATTGAATTTACTGACCTGTCAAAATAACCCCAGTCAACTGTGATATGGTTAAATAAATCTGCTTTTATTTTGCTAAAATCATACAGTTCACTCCTGGTTTGTGAAAGATCAACTATTTGCTTTTGGGTTGAATACAAATTTCTCAAGTTTTTGCTTATTTTCACAGGGTAAAGTCTCTCATTGGCGAGTTTATAGGAAGAATATTGACATGAACTTAAACTTTAGTAGCTGTAAAGAATGGGGATTTTCAGAATCAATATATTTCAAAAGCCTTTGCAACTGTTTTTTGAAAAATGTTTGTAATAATGTGTCAGAATGCACATGTTGATTTTTTACCGTTAGTAAAGCTGACATTCATAGTGACTACTGTTTAGGCCCCATGCTTGTGGATAGTCTTTAGCCTGTAGTATCACAGATCTGTGCAGAAGAAAGGGAAGCTGTTTGCATTCAGACTACAATATTCTCAGCCTGGCAGCGCGTCCCAAAGCCAGGCTCTGAGATGGGATGGGGGGGGGCAATAATGCAGAAAGGTTCACTGACACTTCAAAGCAACATTTGCTGCCTTTATGAGCAAAAAATCATGTTAATTTAAATGATTAAACTAATCTTAACCCTCTGATGAGCCATTTCAAATTAAATAATCAACATTAAATTTCACCAGTGTTTAAACGGAGTTCACATACCTTAACCCTTTAACATCCTGCTCTACCATTAGAGCACATTTTTCACTGACTATACTCAGTCATAGGATATACAAGAGGAAGTGGACTTACCAAAACAAGCTCTAAAATTAAGTTTAGATATGTTGTTCCTTTTTAAGCAGGAATTATGACATTTCTTTTTTTTAATTTCACACTCTACCATAAAGTGTCAGCCTCTCTTTGCCATTCAGTGGCACAAAGTGACCCATGGCTTAATGAGTGACTTTATGGGTTCAAGGTTTAAGCCAAATAAGGTTTTCTCACATGATTTTCCTGTGACACATCTGCTCAGCCTCTGGCCGACTCCTGATGTTATAATTCTTTATTGTTAACTGGGCTTGTGAATTATCCTGTTTCCTTGTATGTTGCTTTGGTATATTGATTGCATCTTGTAAGGTTTTTTAATTTTGTACCACATGGAGGAAAATGTGTTAAATGAATGAATGAATGACAGAGCAGTTAGTGAACGGCCGTTACCTGTCGGGAAGTTTTCCTCACATGCTGACAGACTGGTCTTCAAACCTGTGGCATCTCTGCAGAAACTACGCACTAAAAATAATTAAAAAACATTGTTAACAGTTACATGTGAAGCCGCATGCCAGAAGAGTTTGATGCATTTTACAATGTATAAGATTTACTTCT